TTTGTTTGTTTGTTTGTTTGTTTGTTTGTTTGTTTGTTTGTTTGTAACAATACACACAACAAAGAACAAAAAAACATGCAATCAAAATAAAATCTAATAAAATGAAAGGCAGCAGAAGAAGAATAAATCTTATACCTTTATATAAACCTTTTTTATTCCCAGAATATGTTCAAACTGAAGCTAAATTACAACAAAAAATGAACATTTTTTCTACAACTTGTTCATTAAACAGAACATAAATTTATTTTGACATTAAGTTTGTTCTGTTGTTTTCTGATGGTCTCTGCTGGACGTCAGAGGCCTAATTGTTTGCTACAGAAGGTTCTGGTGGCAGCTGCTGCGTCGCCTCTTTCTTTGGATCTGTGTGAAGCATGGGCGCTCCAGGTGCTTCTCTGGCTGCGTCTCAACAACCGGCTCCTGCTCACACAGCTTCTGGCATCCTCAGAAAAAAGCCTCAGCTCTGCTGCGTATTGTCAGGATACGGACCCCCCCACCGACGGCGCGGTGGCGTGGGTCTGATGGCTGGCAGGATTACTGGTTCTGGTGCTGGGGGGGCTCGCTGCACGCCAGGCAGGGAGCAGAGCCAGGCTCACAGCTCTGCGGTCACTCTTGGACGGGTCGGTGAGGGAGGAATAATGGATGTTTGTTGACGGGACGACCCGGCTGCCCCGAAGAGACAAACGGCTTCAACAGGATGCGTGTCAACAAGAACTGGGATTATTTCAGGTCCTGCAGGATGGGGAGGGCCACACTGGTCCTCCGGCTGAACCAAAAACCAAACAGAATCAGGATGGAAAGATTCAAAACATCTCTGCAGCATGAAAATAAATTCAGTCATTAATTACACCATTCATCCCTGAAATTCAGTCCAGTTCTTTTCTTTAAAACCAGTTCACAACACAAGAATTTCATCAGTGGTTTGTAAGATATTTTGCTAACAGGCACACAAACAAACACTATCTGTGCTTCATAGAGTCCAGTTTCATTTCAATCAGTCCGGTTATTTTGATGTCGGTCCCTGTATGACCGGTGCCAGAGCTTGGTCCACATTGCCTGAAGCAGAGTTGTATAAAGTACCTCAAAGTGATACTTGAGTAAAAGTACAAGTATCTTATCATTAAAATACTTTGGTAAAAGTTGAAGTCTTCTAAAAGTATTGAGTAAAAGTCTAAAAGTAGTTTTTTGTACTTAAATAAAGTTAATTTCTGACACAAAACCTACTTAAGTATTAAAAGTAAAAGTACTGAGTAAAATTGAGCAGTTAGATTTTCCAAAATGACATTTATTGGGAGGTGACTTCTCCAAAAAATATATTTTCTAACAGCGTGCAGCTGTGATGGGTTGTGTACAAGCTAATAGTGTGTCAGAATGGTATATATTTATACTTCTCATCCAAACACAATTAAATTCACTCTGTCCAGGAGACACAGTTTATCAGGATAGTATTTTTTTAAGTAATAACTCAGAATAAAATAGGAGTAACGACTTTCTACTTTTTACCTTTTTTTTAAAATGTAGTGAGTAGAAAGTACAGATAATTGTGTAAAAATGTAATGAGTAAAAGTAAAAAGTACGCTGAAAAATAATTACTCAAGTAAAGTACAAACACCCAAAATGTCTGCTTAAGTACAGTAACAAAGTATTTGTACTTAATTACTTTACAACTCTGGCCGGTAGTAAGTCCGACTCGTTTACGGTGAGAGTTGGACTCCWCCAAGGTTGTCCTTTGTCACCGATTCTGTTCATAACCTTTATGGACAGATTTTCTAGGAGCAGCCGAGGTGTTGAGGGGATCCTTTTTGGTGACCTTAGGATCACATCTCTGCTTTTTGTGGATGATGTGGTCCTGTTGGCTTCATCAGATCCTGATCTCCAGCTCTCACTGGAGYGGTTCACAGCTGAGTGTGAAGCAAGGATGAGGATCAGTGCCTCCAAATCTGAGACCATGGTCTCGAGCTGGAAAAGGGTAGAGTGMCTTCTTGGGTCGGGGAGGAGGTCCTGCCCCAAGTGGAGGAGTTTAAGTATCTCGGGGTCTTGTTCAGGAATGAGGGAAGAATGGAGCAGGAGATCAACAGGTGGATTGGTGCTGCGTCTGCAGTGATGTGGGCGTTGTACCGGTCTGTCGTGGTGAAGTGCTTTACCGACTGGTAAACCGCTACGTTCCTACCCACATCTATGGTTACGAATTTTGGGTAGTGACTGAAAGAAGATCACAGATACAAGCGGCTGAAATGAGTTTCCTCTGCAGGGTGTCTGGGCTCTCCCTTAGAGGTGAGAAGCTCAGTCATCCAGGAGGGACTCAGAGCCGCCGCTCCTCCACGTCGAGAGGAGCCAGTTGAGGTGGTTCATCTGGTTAGGATGCCTCCTGGACGCCTCCCTGGTGAGGTGTTCTGGACACGTCCCACTGGGAGGAGGCCCAGAGGAAGACCCAGGACACGCTGGAGGGACTATGTTTCTCAGCTGGCCTGGGAACACCTTGGGATTCCCCCGGACGAGCTGGTCCAAGTGGCTGGAGGGAGGGAAGTCTGGGTCTCTCTGCTTAGGCTCTAACTGTCTAACTGCATCCATATAAGTCCTCTTTGTCTTTTTTCCTGACAGGAAATCTCTGACATCCTTCTACCAATAGGGACAGTGGGTATATTGGTTTGGACGTGTCCAGAGGAGGGACAGCATCTCTTTTGGACAGATCCCAAACAATTCAATCCCTGTCCATCCCTGTTTGGTCTTTCTGTCTCCCAGTCTGGTCTTTACCTCAGATGATCTCATTCTGTCCTTGTCTCTCAAAGAAAACCTCAACATCTTCAGCTCTGACACTCCAAATGTCTTCAACGCTACAGTTCCTTGTTCTGATTCATGTCTTTTTAACCCACAAAGACACAGTGAAGTTCTCTCTATGAGTTCCTCAAGACAAATGTGGAGTTTGTGCTGCTGTTGGAACATGAAGGTAAAAGACATTCCTGAGGATGTACTCATACCTTTTTCTACTCTAAAAAGTATTTTTRGTTTGTTTATAGAAACTAAATTATTTTAAACCTAACCAAGTAGTTTTCCCTGCCTACTGTAGATTAAATACAGTTAAAAACACAATAAATTAATGATTTGTCAAGAATTTAGTAAAAATAAACATTCAGAATTAAAATTATTTACGTTACATTTTACCAGCCGTCGTAATGT